AGCACGCTAAAATCGACTGGCAAAAATAGTACGTGGTGGCTCAGTATTCTAAATTACCAAAATTATGTTAAAGCCAATGCACCCATTGAATATATTTATAACGGTCGGTTGTAAAATGGCAAATATGCAATTTATATATATATACATATATATTATATTTCGTAAAAGGTATTTCAAACTATTTGCTAATTTCTTCGTTAGGATTTTGTAATCAGTATTTATTAGCGATATCGGCCCACAATTTTTCGTTTTATCCAGTTCACCTTTTTATGGATCAAAGAGAGACTCCGTAACAAAAGAGCAAGGCTCAAATAAATTATATAAAAATATGGCTCATTTAGTCCAGCGGAAAGGATTATTTTCAAGATAAGTAAACCGGTGTGTATTTAAAAAGTAAAGAATAGGATCAGAAGTGCATTTTGACAATTTCCCTTGATAACAGAATACCTGGTTACCATGGAAACGAGGTATCGTTATCGGCCAAACACGATTATTAGTCGCACAACCTGAACACAAATACTACGTTCATGTTGTACGCCACCTTGGTACAAGAACAAAATAATAACAAAACGATCCATATGTACACTTCGTTTCCAATAATTGATTGAAGTCCGATTGATTTAAGTACCACTTAGGCAGGACGGGCAGGATCCAGCTCGCCGAAGTATTTCATCCGGCCCACTTGTGCCTGTAGAATACTACAGTATATATAGTTTTTATGGATATACATTTGCGCTGAAACTAACGAGTCTTCGGCTAAGATATGACAATGTATTATCTGCACCTGTAAATGATGTGGAAATCCAGCCACATATACCTAAAACTCATCCAAGATGACCCGATTGCTACATTATGCTGTTTATTATATAAACCTTAGTCTAGGTTTGGACTTATTTTTCTACCAACATTCTTTCTGCAGCTGCCGTAATTTGCCAGCCACAGTAATAAATCCATCAATATGAGGGGAAACGCAATGTGGATTCCGAATGACGTTTTTTAACAAGAAATGGTGAGACTTATTTTTCACAGATAAAATTCAACTGCCTGCTTAATTTGTAATGAAGGGTTTCCGGTGTTCGAAGAATATAACATTACGAGACCTTTTTTTTGAATGAAACATATATAAGACTTTAGCCAACAATTTTCGACACAAGAGCTTAAAATCAGGGCAGCAGATACGGTTATAAAGCTCACTTCACTCAATAGCCCAATAACTAAGTCTATTATCTGTAACTGGACCCCCTCAGGAAAGTGATTTTCCACACATGCTGGGGTAAGATAACTACACCGAGTAGAAAACATTTCCATTTTCTCATTTCGGCCCACCAACCTGTCAAGATATAAGCCATAAAAAGTGATTCCCATAATCTAATCTCAATCCTTGTACACATAATATTATTCCATACGTATTACGGTCTTAAACCGCTATTTATTATATCGATCCGCCGAATTTATTACCATTAAATAACAATGTCGAAAACACATTTCCTGAGCACCGCGATTATAATAATTGTGTCAGATATAGAACAGTATGTTGACTGATATTCGATAGAATTGCAGTCTTATAAAATGTAGTAAAAATATTGAGGTTTGTTGCAGCTTAGTGCACACGATTTTCGAGAGGAAAGTAGTATTAATGTTTATTGGTAATTGAATTCTGATTATTAGAAGGGCAATATATTTATTTACTATTTTCACACGACACAGATAGCCAACGGTAATATATGGGAGAGTAGAATGTAACTAAAAGTTTGTTTCAAGATTCGAATTTAATTAGGCAATATATTTCATGCATTATAAGTGCTTTGTTTGAAGTATATATCTAAATAGTAAAATTGCCCCCACTAGTTATTGGGAAATCTTTGTGGAATATATTCTTGGAAAATATAATTATTTCAATCGTTTTTCTATTTATTTTTTGTTGTAGCACTTACATAAGGCGACGTTAGATCTAGATTACAAGAATCAATGATTCCAGCCGAGTTTTCCGTCTTCTACAGATTATCTGGCTGAGATACTCCATGCCAGAGTTATAAGAATGAATTTAACTTCAATACATATGATGACGATATGATAGCTCCAAGATAACAATAATCCGTCAGTTATGAGATATATACCGTATTTTATATTTTCACCAGCTTTATGTGTCTATGAGTTTGAAAATAGACCGTTAGCAGAGGCAGTTGTTGAGCACAAAAGGAATTAATTTTTGACAGTGAATGTAGCTTCATTTGTGATTCATGACTATAACATGAATACTTCCCGCTCGTGTCGAACACAATAGGAATTGCTCCAAAACAAAGCCAAGTTTGTAACAAGCGAGGCGAAATCAGTACCAATCTGTTCATTCAATAAACAAAAGATTTACAATTGATTATGGAAATTTATTGCTAATTCGGTGCAGTCGATGCGTGAAAACACGGTAATTTTTCCAAGCGTAGTTTGGCTGGGATATCATGTTGATCTATGCATGTAAATAGAAAGTATGTCCATTAAATAGTAGAGATGGGAGAGCTCCAGAAGTATGTGCATCAAGGTGGCGCACAACATGAACGTAGTATTTGTGTTCCGGTTAGCGTTCAGGTTGTGTGACTAATAATCGTGCTGTGTTTGGTCGATAACGATACCTCGTTTCCATGGTAACCAGGTATTCTGTTATCAAGGGCAATTGTCAAAATGCACTCTTTATCATATTCCTTTCTTTTTAAATACACATTGGTTTCTTTATCTTGGAAACATCTTTTCCTAAAGTAGTGTTTCTTACCCTTGGATAGCAATACGGATCATGCCTCGTTTCCATGGCAACGAGGTATTTTTTGGATGGCACCATATCTAAAATTAATCAGAAGATGCTACTGTAGATGTGTGCCAAGTTTTATGCTTGCATCCGAAAGTGCACAATTCTATCATATCCGCTGGACTACAATTAAAATACACTACATTGCTGACTAACATGACAAAGAACATTACAAGTTCCTACATACCGTGCCCAGCAGAAAGCCGTTGACTACAAAACTATTGTTTTATAAGAATATACTCAACAAGTTGTTCACGCAGTTTATGATGTTCACACCAGTCAGATAACAACACGGCACAATTGTCTTAATAATATGTCACGACTACTCGACTATGAAAAAGATTTTGCATGTGACTTGAGGGTTAGGTTAAAACGATTATTATTTTCATTTATCCGAAGAATTAAATACATTTATACGGATTCGTTGAATAGTACTAAGAATTTGTTCCAAGAGAGTTGTTTTAAATCAAATTTTTTTTGTATTAAAATATGTTAAAGAAAAATGGATTTCAAAACTTTGTATTGGCAATAAACTCTTCGAAATGCCACAAATGTCGATGAGTTTCCCATACACGCCTTCTCAGGCTATAGTTCAATGCGTCCGCATACGTGTTTGGCGCGGGAAGACACAACTGATAATCCATTTGTAAACCACCCCGCGACGAAACCGCCTTGTGAACCACCTGGCGTAAATGTAAATACGGTTAAATAAATGAGTTTGTATAACTTTGAAAAAACTCTATCCCTTTAACATTAAAAACAAAGTATATATGCTAATTTAAATAAACCGAACAGTATTAACAATAATAATGCCTTAATTTGTATGGAAAAAGTGCTTATAAATAAACTCGAAACCCCTATTATGACGTTTTAACAGATTAGTTGTGACGTCATCGTATCAGAGAGGTATTACAATAAGCATAGCCTAGGCTAGTGTGTCTCATCGTCTAACTAAATCCGCAGTTTGCCGTTCTGAGAATATTCTTCATTATCGCAACACACTCGTTGTCGAAAGCTGCCCTGATCCAATTACTTTTGGATTGTAGTAGGCTCGTGAGATATGTTTCATGATTTTTCTTGCACAAAACGTCTCTCTGATATCTGCAATAAACATTCCTGTTAAAATCCTATGACTTTGGTGTAGGTACAAACTTGGCCATAAATGTACGCGATAATAGTGAAAGTCAAAGCAAGAATTTTTACTCACACTACACAGGGTGTTTTTTCAGAATTAATAAAAAACAAAACCTTCATTAGTACCCTGGGTTTGCTGGATATGTCTCAGGGGCTTGAAAAGAGTCTAAAATTATATAAATTGTAATTTGAATATATTGTGATAAAGGAGATTCAAAAATCGTCAAGAATTATTCCATCTATTTTATTGCTTTTGACAATTTCCCACGCGCTGCTAAACCAAATCATATCCACAGGACAGATTGATTTGAATCAATTTATCAGTGAATTCCACCATTGTGCGCATGGCGTGTCGATTTAGTGTCATTGGGATAGGTACGTCGTTTCAATCAAAATCATAGTCTTGAAATTGCTTCGATTAGATTCCAATTGAAGTTGATTCAAAATTTTGGAACTCACATCTTTACATGTGACTCTAACTTGCTTTAACGTATTGTAATACCATCTGCCTAACGTGCATTTCTTCACAAATTGAGGGCTCAATTCAAAGGCGTTGATTTTATATCTCATCATACCAAATTGTCAAACTTTGACCTTGCGTCATCGTTGCTTGAAATAGGGATGTCCAACACAGCAGATCAAGTATTTTACTGAAAGCAAATAAAGTTGCAGAGGATACTTTACTTCACTAAACATATTACACCAAGCAAAACATACTTTTACAAGCAAAATGAAATTTCAGATTTCCGTTTATTGTAAGACATTCATATTATAGCTCAATTCGGTGACACTCTGTTAATTGTAGCTATATTTTCACGGTGATGTTAGCGATATATTTTCATTGTTATTCGGGCCTTATTTTGAGATATATACTGATAAAAATCGCTGAACTTGTTTTTACTCAGGTGGTTTAATCATGAGGTCACAGAATAGAATACTTTTAGACACTTAAATATCAGAGCTGAGGATCACGAATTCCATAAATCTCCCAATTCACATTTCAAAAAATTCAAAATGTCGAAGCAACATTTGCTATGCCGTGCGAATTATTTCCGTTCATGCCATGTTCGTTCACGAATCCGAACATTAGAAGCTGTCTTGTGTTTTTATTCGTGTCTGTACTCAATATTATTCATTCCGTTGAGTTCGAGATGAAGGAAGCTTTATTTTTGCAGAATTCATCTGTTTTATCTGTGGTTATACGAGAGAAACATGTATATGAAGTTCCCCAAAGCAATGATCGAATTGATTGGAATAAGGTAATCAAGTTATTTTGATATTGTGGGTTTTTACATGGAAATTTTGTAACGGAACTTCAATTCTGCAAGCGAACTCATTTTTCCACGAAACCTTCTGCTCAGCTGATCATTTCCGTACAGCATCACCCGTCGCGCGCCTCGTTTTCATATATTTGAGCATTGATTTTTTTTATACATTCAGATACCAAGAAATTGATATCTTGCATTCGACAATGGAGATCCTATTACGAGAGACTTGGAATGCAAAACAGGATTCAAGTTTACCGGAAAAATTTTTGTGAACGGGTAAATATTTATATTTTACACTATCATGTACAAGTTTATTATTATTCGAGAAAAATGGCATACCAGGTGTTTATGATATCACGTCAGTAGAAATAATCAATAATTTGCCTAATTGGGTTCCGGATCGGGTTGTAATCGTAAATTTAGGTTTGTAACTAAAATCACAACTTTTGACGAATATATTAAATTTCTAGGTCATTTTTTAAAAACTAAACAGATTTGACAGAAAAATATTGCTATATTTAATATTTTAGAAAAAAAAGAGGGCGAAGTGGAAGTAACCAGATATCTTCAACCCAATGGAAACTACAATAATCGTCTTCCAGAAGGTTTGCTTATCTCAATTATTTTTTTTCCTTCATTTTTTAATCATATTTCATGCATGCCATAGCGATAATAAAAATGCTATTTGAAGCAGTTCAACATTATTACTTCTTAAGCATATTTTATATTCGTAATCGTAATGGAAAATTGAACAATAAAGTTGTTATCGAAGGTTGGATTTTCATTGAAATCTTATATTTGAAACGAATATGAACGTAGTTTTAAAAGTCAAAACATAGCAAATATATGATCGTAAATGATATTCGTTTGTGTTTTTATTAATATGACGCTTGTGTGATTAATCTAAACCAGTTTGGTGCAACAAATAAAAGCCATATAAGTTATGTATTTTCGTTTGATCACTTTTTTCAAGAACAGGCAACACACTGAAGCTAGGTACAAAACATATATAATAGTAGTAATATAGTTCAAGAAGTTTGGGTATTACCTATATGCCTAAGCTTAATCTTCCATTCGGGAAATTAATTCATTTATTTCATTTGCTTATACAACGTATAGCAAATCAACTGAACAGTCGCGAAGGAGAGACATTTCACCTGACGGACAATGAATATTACTTCTTTCACATTAGCTGTGATGAAAAAGGTAAGACATTAGTTATTAGTAAGTTGGAGAGTGCGTGCATGTGAAAACCTACATGTCTTATTTTTCGTTGGATACACGTAGCAAAATTAACTTACTACCAGTTTCAAAATTGTCGTATGCATGTAGTTAGTATCTTATGTTGATAAGTAAAAATAACATGATCTCTTTCAACGAAATAGTAAGTATATTTGTGAGCTTTCGTTAGATCATGGTCTAACTTCTTCAAACAATACAAGATATAACTGTAAATATAAAGATCACAAGAATTTAATTTATTTTAAAATTAAGTTTTCTATAACTGATTTAGATGCTATGGTAATTTAATCCATATCAACTCCGAACTGTCGGTCTAACTGATGTGGTTGGGTTGAAGTTCGTCTATTTGTGTGGTTTCCTTTGTTTGCTTTTGAACCATGTTTGTTTGTATTGTTGCTGTTTTTTTGATAGTACTGTTTGTCTTTTGGTTTTGTATTTGCGTTGAAGTCCCTCTCCGTTTGAGTTTTAATCTTTTCTATTGATTCCATGTGGTTGCCGAGTGTGGTTTTGTTAATCCAGAAATGCTCTTTGTTTTTCCTGTAAAGTTCGTCGTGGGTTAGTGAGTCAATGCCCAGGATATTAAAATCGTCTATATTGTGCCCTTCCCTGTTGAAGTGGTTGGCAACTGGTGTTGGAGTCCCTTTTCGAATATCCCTAAGGTGGTCTGACGTACGAGACTTTAATAATATTCCCTTAGTATCTTATGTTGCTCTTGATAATTTCTTAGGTCATACATAATAGCTTTTACAACATTGATTTATGTGGACTACTGTTTTGAATATGTTTTTACAGTATAAAGAGATTCGATATAACATACAGCTGGGAAAATGCACATTACCTCTTCACAATAGCTATTTCATCTTTGCTATTTAGAATAAACGATACAGTAACAAAAGCGGAAATAATTATTTCCTGTAGCAAAGTAATAACAAAATTGCTATTTCTAGGTGATTACATCATATGGGCTGTCACTGCGACTCCTAATGCAGATGTTTCAACCATTATCAGAGCTATTAACGCTCTCAGCAATTTTGGAATTCGACCGAAATTCAAGCTTTCACGATGTTCCGACAAGTCGATTGATTTTACAAAATAAGATAAAAATTGACATGACAAACTTCAATAAATATACAGACTTATTGCAGCATCTCTATATAATACAAGGAAGTGTTAGCATGTTCAGTTGGAGTACTTTGTACATATGCAAGCATATTGCACGAACTTAAATACAAATGTATACACGACATCGCAAGTATGCTCCTCCGGTTACTGACCCCAGAAATTTTTTTATATGTTACTTCTGTAGGTAGTTTGGACAAAATGTTGTAAAGCGGGATGTAACTGAAGTGAAGAATAAAGTGCACGTTTTTAAGGTATCGTAAGAAAAAAAGAAGGTGCACATTCAATAATGACAAGAAGAATTGGGGTTATAAAATGTAGTGTGGGACTATTAATAAACAGTGATCGAAGTATGCACCTGAATAATAATAATAAAATGGTAGTTGAATAAAACACCAATGAGAACATCCCTGAAAATGAATATGAAAATAAATAGAAATACCGCATTTAACAGCCAGAGACATGTTAGACCAAATGCTGCACAAAAGGAAAAATTGCGTTGCAAAACCTATACCTGTGTCGAATTCATTATCTATGCCTATGACATTACAATGCCTCAACAACAATATTGTGGAAAGCAAACAATGCATGTCATAAGATCAACAACCTACATTTTTGTGCCTGCAACTACTAGAAAGCCTATGCTAAATAAAGTTGCGGCCCGCGGTTTCACCCAGTTATTTGTATATGGTACTCCTGTATTAAAGGTTGCCCACCCCTGTGTTAGACAATCAATTCATCAGCTCATTTATTTTGAACTAAGGTATTCTTCAAAACCTGTGGGCTCACAAAATGCATGCTGAACATTTTGATCAAATTAAGAACTATCGAGGGACTGTTCATAAATTTGATATATTATCTGATAGCACATGTCTGCCTGCTTTTGTGAACAATTCATCGTCTTTCGGGAGATGTGGTATACTTAAATTAAGTGTCGCAACTGTTCTTTCATATTAATGTTATATATTACACTTTATTGGGCACACGTAATTTTATTCCGATTTTCATTATTATTTCAGTTCTATTGCGAGTTCGGGGACTGTCTGTGTTAGCCAAGTGAATTACCCCTGCACGTAGGTTTCAGTCCCTTCATATTGGTACATACACATCTGGAGCGTTCTTCATTGAATAGACTAAAGTTCATTCCTTAGAAAAAGCGACAGAAAATCTCAATTCGAATTTATTGTCAAATAACTTTACATAAGTTGGTTTGATTGCCTCTTAGAGCATATAGAGAGTGTTTTCATCTGAGTTTAAAACAAGCTCACTTACGGAATATAATCACGCACCTCCTTTCAATTGGGGGGGGATTCTTCGGTTGACCCAACTGCTGAGCCAACCGCTTCAAAATTTTAAGTGGTCAAGATTGTACACGCTCATTCTATCTTTAATATTTAGCGCTTCGTTGCGCTTCAGAAGACAAGTCTGGGCTTGTTGGAATCAAAGTGACTATAACACAAGTGAGGACAACCATTGGTAACGTTATAAGCGATTGTGTGACGTCACACCCGCCATTTTTGGTCAAGAGTTCTATCGCTGTATGAACCCAACTAAGTGATTGAAACCTGCGGTCGTTAAACAGTTGAATAAAAAAAACGATGCTCAATATTTCGGACCAAACATTCGCAGCAGCAAAACGAATGAACATTCTTCTGAAAACTTAATTTTCCACAGATGTTTCTCAGATAACTCGGCTAGGCGGTATGTTCAGCATATACGAAGTTAAGGTTAAAGTCATCCAACTTAACTCGATAAATCAACACCCAATAAGACCAAATATAATAAACGAAGAGATAAACATTTTATTAAAAGAGTTCCGGATGTAAGTATCGCTAATTGCACATAACTGTTTTCGACAAACTGACAGAACTACAATAGGAATTAAACTACAAAAACTCGTAACTATTCGTACATGATAAAATTTTTAACACGGTGTACATCACCAAAATATATTAAAAAAATATACTACATGCATGGAATGAAGGATAACGGTATATGTCAAGGTTACAAGAACATCTAATAATCTGGAGTGTATAAAATAATATATATTATCTATCTGACTTAAGCTCTTGCTGTAGTTTTATTAACATATTGTTTTTATTTTTTATTTAATCTTATATTGGAAACGTTTCAAAATTTTAAAAGCGACATTGTGGCAAGATGGGAAATTATATTTCAAGCAGTCAACTTTATCTGTCATAAAAGTAACTTGGCGAGCATATAATATGAAAGGCATAAATATTGACGCGAAATATAGTTTCTACTTTGCGCAAAAATACGATTGCTTTTGTGGATGGGTGGCATAAATATTGGGTAAAACTCTCAATGTTTATCATTTGTTTAGGACCGAAGAAGAGTTAAGTAACGATTGATTAAACATAGATAATAATTCCTAAATAACAAGGGCCACGATGTATACGTTTGGTATCTGATTATGGACCGGAACAAAATGCCAGAAACAAAAACTTTGAACGCCGCATCTTTATAGGGTTCTGCCGGAAACATGAAGTCTAATTTTTCACTGTTGGATATCATTAAAATTACAATTAAGTTTTATCAATGAGAACGTGGAAGACAGAAAGGCGTTGCTAGATCACTTAGTAAATATTTCACATGTTCCGACGCAGAAGAATCGAAATATCCTGCCAATAAGTTGATAAGTTCTGCAACACCAGTCGCGGCGGCTGGTCTTCAAATTTGGTACGTTATAATGTACAACTTGTACGCTTCGATGAAATTCATTAGGCCGCACAATGAGCTAGCCATGAGATCGTTTACATTCTATAATTTTTGGAGCAACTGTTGCAACAGCTTGTTAAATCAAGAAAAATTGTCCCGAGAAAATTCGGACATTTCATCAGCTTCTGGAATGATTAATGCAAAACGCAGGCTTTAAACATTTGGAATGGTGTGAACAGGTATCACGATACGAGTTCAAATAATATCTGCTTCAAACGTATGTTTTGGATCGGGGGTCTCCGATTTAAAATACATCACAGGCCACTTTTTGAAATTTGTCGAAGACGCGGGCCACACACCAACAAATTAAGTACAAAATTGATACACAAAAAATAACAAACAAAATCTGAATATATTTGTTGAAATCTTACACAAAACGAGACATGAAACCTATTCATTTACTTGTTCTGGATATTTGGCACCGTTTCGTAGCGATGAGAGACTCGATGTTACGTTGGTTTGCTAGTCTTAAGACAGCATGCAAACGCTCGTCCGTTAGTCGTGAGTAGGGATGGCGGAATCGAGTCCGGATTCGATTACAGAATCGATTCTTCGCGAAATCGACTAGAACCGATTCCGACGCACCGGAATCGATTCTCAAGTTTGGAACTTGGATTGCAAACAATGTGTAACGTTTTGTGGCAATTCCTTCACATATATGTATAAACTGCTTTACTGCTATGTTGAGTTACTACGACGCCGCAAACTTCACTATATATACTATATATATATATATATATATAACTCTATTACGGTAGTTAAACGGACCTGCCATAATTGCAGTACTTAAGCGGACGTCGTTCCTGTGTCCGTATCATTGTTTTTAAATACGTGCTTGGAGAGCGCGAGAGCCGTTGACAACTACGGAGAAAAAGAGTCAACACAATCCTCTCGATAAAAGATATAGAATTTTTGTCCGCTTAATTCGTCCACTTAATTCAGACCACCAAATGTTTTAGCCTATTTCGGCACTAAGCCGGACCCCTCTTATATGTCGCTCTGGATGTCTACATAAATGATGTTGCTTTTATTTTAATACGCATTTTAAAGCGTATGACCTCGCTTCAATTTCCGATGGATTCGAACCATTTAGCAATATTTATCACAAAAAATAGCATTTCTTTATCAATGTTCCGTCTTTCGTGCAAGGGAGATGCACTGTGTTTGGTGTTGGAAATATTCTTCTATATCAAAAAATACTCAAAATGCAACGTGAAGGTAGACAAATCGAAACAAATTGATCCAAACGTGTTATATATTTGAAACTGAGAAATACACAGAGCATATCACAAATGTTCGCCTATTCCAACCCTATGGTGCAACATATAGATTAAACAGATGCTATGTTGTGAGTGTCAAGATATCAATACCAAGTCAAAATTATGGCATTCCAATAATATTGATAAACATCACACAAAATATATCTCAAATGTCCACCTATCCGGCCACCTAAGTGTGGCATACAAGAATTGAAATGAAACTTCTGAAATTATATTAAGAAACATTACACAAAGTATATCTCAAATGTCCACCTATCCGACCACCTAAGTGTGGAATAAAACAATCAAAATGAAAACTCTTGAAATCATATTGAGAAACATTACACAAAGTATATCTCAAATGTCCACCTATCCGGCCACCTAAGTGTGGCATGAAACATTAAAATGAAAATTCCGAAATCGTAATGAGAAACATTACACAAAGTATATCTTAAATGTCCACCTATCCGGCCACCTAAGTGTGGCATACAAGAATTAAAATGAAAATTCTGAAATCATATTGAGAAACATTACACAAAGTATATCTTAAATGTCCACCTATCCGGCCACCTAAGTGTGGCATACAAGAATTTAAATGAAAATTCTGAAATCATTTTGAGAAACATTACACAAAGTATATCTCAAATGTCCACCTATCCGACCACCTAAGTGTGGCATAAAACAATCACAATGAAAACTCTGAAATCATATTGAGAAACATAACACAAAGTATATCTCAAATGTCCACCTATCCGACCACCTAAGTGGGGCATACAAAAATTGAAATGAAAATTCTGAAATAATATTGAGAAACATTACACAAAATATATATCTCAAATGTCCACTTATCCGGCCACCTAAGTGTGGCATACAAGAATTGAAATGAAAATTCTGAAGTCATATTGAGAAACATTACACAAAGTATATCTCAAATGTCCACCTATCCGGCCACCTAAGTGTGGCATACAAGAATTGAAATGAAAATTCTGAAATCATATTGAGAAACATTACACAAAGTATATCTCAAATGTCCACCTATCCGACCACCTAAGTGTGGCATAAAACAATCGCAATGGAAACTCGGAAATCATATTGAGAAACATTACACAAA